TCTCTGCATCTCCATCAATAGAGAGAGAATTCAGAAGGAGACTACGTATCAATTAGAAGATCATAACCCATTCAAGCAATCAAACACATATGGATCAATGTATGCTTTCGCTTTTAATCTTCTCTTTGATTTCAACATGGAGTATATTTATGCATGTGATTAGGGTTTGATAATGTTTTTGGTTGATAATCCTTTCACATATTCCTACAAGTCGTATCAGAGCCACTCCATTGTTGAATCTTTGAGAAATTGAGGTTTTAACAATTTATAATTTTGGGTTATTAGATCTTCTATCATGTTATTATATGGAATTTGGTATTATATTCATGATTTTCGTCCAAAAGTCAGGTTTTAACATTAAGGATTTTCAAATCTGTTAAAAAAAATTATATTTTGAAATATCCGGATTGCAGTGATCGCTGCCGACGACTAGCGCTTCGATGCCGCTGCTGGATGACTATATGGGGCCGCCACAATCAGGGCAGCCCCCCGGCCACTTGGGCCTTGGCGACGCCGACCGGCACCGCCAAGGAAGAAGAAGGAAATGAGGCGCCAAGGAAGAAGAAGGAAATGAGGGTTTTAAGCCTCTTTTGGAGGTGGGGGCCTCACGTGCAAATTCATTTATTTGGAGCCCCTGCTTGCAATTTAATATTGGGTTAGGGTTGAGTTTTTTTATATTTCAGCTCCTAACGTTTATTCAAGTTGTGCCTTAAGGTTATGAGTTTTAATAATTCAGCCCCTTAAGTTTTAAAATTAATTAATTTGGGTCATTTAAGTTCTGAATTTTGCAATTAAAGCCCTCAAAGTTGCTGAGTTTGTTCTAATTGACTCCAAAAGCTTTAAATTTTTAAATTTTGCTCTCTAATTTTGAATTAATTAATTTTTGAATCCCTAAAATTTTGAATAATTAATTTTTTGACTCCTAAAGTTTTCAACAATTAATTATTGACCCATAACGTTCTGGATAATTAATTTTTGGTCCATAGAGTTATGAATTATTAACCCTTAGGCCCACTAAAGTTTCAAGACAAATAAAATATGCAAATTTGGTGTTTTGTTTTTCAAATTTTGGTACAAGAATTCATTTGGGAACATAATATTCGAAAGTGACTTAATTGAAGCAACATGTTGCCAAAACAACAT